TGACTTGGGCCTCGGCTCGGAGCCACCATAATTCGACTTTGAGGGATCATATCTCAAAAAGCCGGGAGATAGCATAGCATTATTGTTGCATATTATGCCACATAAGGTCAAACTTGACCCCACAAGCATCAAGAACCCGATGCTCCGGCTCGACTGTGCCGGCACACTGCCTCCTCGCGCCAGCTGCTCGCAGGCCGTCGCGGCCCGTGGTGCACCAGAGAGAGAGGTCGACGCGTTGCCCCCGCCGGCGACCCCGCGCGGCTCAGGCCAGCCAGAAGGTGTGTGGTGACGGCGCCGTGGCAGGAGTGCGGAGAAGAGCTCGCCGAACGCGAGCAGCAGATGGCCAAAGTGTGCCAGCGCGAGAGCCTCGCGAGCGGGCGCAGAAGGAGCTCGCCGTGACACGATGCCGGGCGGTGGTGGTGCTCTGGCGGCTGTGCACAGTGGGCAAAGTCAGGCTGCAACAGGGCAGCACGGTGGTAGTGCCCTGCTGCAGCCTGGCCTGACATGCACAGGGCGAACAGAGGCGGTACTATCGTCCGGCGCTCGTCACCGAATCTGGGCGAACTTCGACCGCCGCCACAGCTCACCACGAGCACGCAGCGACAAAATGTTGACTGTACGGAAGTTGAGGCTGGTCGAGAGGAAGAGGCTGCCGTGCGAGCCGGCAGCAGGCTGGCTCGTCGTGGACTGCAGCGGCGACTTTTATGGGTTTCTCTGTTCATAGTAGCGTGCACGCTACTATGGTTTACCCACACTAAGCGAGTACAGACAGATAGACCCTCCATCCAATCATGAGAAACATCCAACCTGATCGGTCGTACTGACCGCCGACAGATCACTCCAGACAGCAGACAGGCCGACGTCTGTACGCGGCCGGCCGGGCGAGAGGCTTGACACGATCCGACCCTGCGACCCTGACGCTGCTGCTCTAGCTATCAGACATGCACTGCTGACTGCTGCCACAATGTGCGACCGGTGCTGGCCCACTTGGCGGCCTTCCCGGTCAGTGGTGAGGCGCAGTTCAGAGCTGTCGATGGCGCGATGCCGCACTGGTCCCACATTGGTGACACGAGACCACCAAGTTTGCCGGTCCAAGAGAGAGGCACCGGCGCTGTCCTGAGAAGGAGCGTGGTCCCTCTTGACTGCCCATGCGCGCGAGGCTGTGTAGGCATAGCCTCGAGAGTGCCAGCAGCCAATCCGAGGCAGTTTGTGACGGGCATTGCGTCAGAAGCGTGCACGCAGCTGGAAGGGCACCTTCCTACTGGCCGTACGATCAGGTCGTCACTGAACATGCTGGATACTAAGGCCGCGAGCTATGCAGGTGATCAATTGTGCAGCAGGGCACGGTCAGCAGCGCCGACAGGCTGTCGCAAGGCGTGATAGCATGGCCGCAAGTACGCCGAATTCCCATGAAAAACAAGTGAAAAATCGCGCAAAAAAACCGAAAAAATCGGCGCCTGCGGCGGGCCATGGGACCCCATCTCCCCCCCGCATGGGTATCCTCTAGGGCCCTCGCAACCCCCCCCGGAGATAAGGAGCTGAGCTAGCTGCAGTGCAGCCACAGCCTTCAGCCCGATGGGTTGGCCTTTATCAGTCATGGTAATCTCTAGTCTTTCTTAGAGATTGAGAGGAGTGAGACCTGAAGATTTCAGGGCAGATCTCAGTCTCTAGTCCCGCCCTTGAGATCTCCCAAATCTTCGTCGAGACTTCAGCCACGAAATCTCAGTCTTCCCGTCGCTCGGTGTGAGTTTCTAGAGGAAACGCGTGAGATCTCAAATGGCGAAGATTCCTTTTCGCTTTGGGAGTTTGAGATTTCGATGAGGGGTGGGAGAGACTGAGACTGCAAGCAAGAGAGATTCCGTTTTCGATGCAGAATGCTGTGAACTTCCTCAACCTTCCAACGCCTTTATCTCGCTTCGTTCGAAAAACATCGCTTGCGGCACCACCGAAATCTAGGGCAGCGTGACTCGAGATTTGAGATTGAGACTGAAGCCCCAGCACGCTCGGCTTGCAATGCTTTGCGCCGCCGACACTCGCCGCCGCCGCCTGAGGCGGTTCTCCACGAAGCTGTGGCCGCTCGAGAGTGAGGATGAGATTGTCGCGCTTCTCCTCGGCATGGCCCGCTACCCAGTCGACACACCCGACCGCGCAGAGCTCATCGCTGCCGACATGCAAACAACGCACGCGTCCACGACCATCAACATCCTCGTCAGCAGCATCGAGAGCGAGGCTGGCATCAGCGCTCTCGTGGATCTTCTCGACCGCAAGCACTTCCATGAGCAGGAGAAGTCCACGCCGCTCCACCTGGTCCCGCAGATTGAGTTCTGCGCCGTCTACGCTTTGCAAGGGCAGAAGGTGTGCCTTGTGGTCAGCGACGAGCCCGTCCATCCAACCGTATACTGCACGCACGGGCGCTTTGACGGGCTCCTCTACTGCAAGCGCTGCCCAAATTCGCAAATTGTCAGTCTGGGGGGTACTTGAGGGGAGGGGGGAGGAGTCTGGGTGGTGCACTTGCCTAAGGTTCTTGCCCTCAAATTGCAAAAGATATGCAGTCATGCCCCTAAAGCCTAATACACACAATGCAACATATAATGCAACGAAATGCAATCACGCGCAAATGCAACGAATGCAATAATGCAACGAAATGCAATCACGCGCAAATGCAACGAATGCAAAAATTGCATAATGCAACGAGATGCAATCACGCGCAAAATGCAGAAAATGCAAATATTGCATAATGCAACGAGATGCAAACACGCGCAAAATGCAGAAAATGCAAATGCAACGAAATGCAATCAGCGAACGCAGTTGTAATGCAGTTGTAATGCAGGTGAATGCATGCGAATGCAAAAAATGCAAAAAACGCAATGCATGGGCAAAAACCACACGCATTTTTGGGCAAGAACCACACTTATGCCGAGTGTGGGGGGACTACATGATCCGTACGTGAAGGGTGGAGGGGCCCGTCCGTCCGCAGAGCTAGGCGGCGCGGGCACCCCCCACTGGGGCCGAGGACAAGAGGCCGTTTGCCGCTTGCTTGTTCTTGATCCAGTTGGTGCGCACAGTGCGCGCCTGCTTGTTGATGTTTTCGGCGTCGCCCGCCACCGCCGCCATGGAGATCTGCTGCGTGTGGTGGACGACGAAGGAGGAGGCGCTCGCCGACGCCGCCCCATACACCGTCGTCCGGTCCGTGTTGGTGCCCACCGCTTCCTTGGCGAACACGTGGAGGAACTGCTTGGTGGGCGGCGCAATGCCACCCAAAGTCTCCACGAGCACCAGCCGCGTTATGGCTTTCTTGACCCACTTCGCGTCGTAGTACTGCGCCCCCATCGCATCCATTTCCAGCCTGCACTCTTCTTGACCCACCCGTCTCCATACGGGGGCGTGGTCTTTGACCCATCCCTTTCCAGTCGAGTGGTCGAGCGTTCCGTCCACCTGACGGCCACGCTTCTTGCACCCCACGACCGCCGTCAACGCCTTGTCGAGCGTGTTTCCAAACCCGTAGAGGTGGCCCACCGACGCCACACTGCCACAGAACACTCAAACGGGCTTGTGGAGCAGAGCCACACGCTACGCAGCAGCCCTAAGATGCCCGGGCACACGTGCAAGCGCCCATGATCATATCTCGTCGTGCACTGCACTCGCCTGACAG